CTGGGTGGTCACTCCAGCCTCTACTTCCATCATCACATCACCTTCTCTATGAATTTGACACTTCTGCCTTCCTCTCATAAGGATTCTTGTGATTACATTGGGTCTGGGACCATCTCCTAGTCTCAGGATCCTTAACTTAATCCCATCTGAAAAGTCCCTTTCACCCTCCATAACATATTCACAAGTGCTAGGGATTAAGGACATGGGCATCTTGCAGGTAAGCAAGGGCATTATACAGCCTACCACATATCCTTTTATTTGTTTAGTTTTAATTCCTTAAAATGGCATTGTTCTCTTTTGCCACAAGGTCTTTACACTTGATTCTGAGTCTTCCTAGAATACCTTTTCCATTCTCCACCCCACCGCCCCCCATTCGCCACCTAGATAATGCTTTCTGGGGCTCCAGAATAATTTCTCCCACAGGGAAACCTTCCACAACCTCTCTCACTAAATTAATTTCTCCTCTTATATCCTCAAGGCACCATGTACTTCTTCATAGCACTTATTGGTTCATTATTTTTATATTTACTGGTAAATTCTTTGAAGTTTTTCACCCACTATACTTTATAAACTCTGTAAGGACAGACACCATGAGTTTGTCATTTATTTATTTTCTTAATCTTTGTAGTCCCATCTCCTATTCAGTACATAAATGTGAAAAGGAATGCATAGTCTTGTGCATTTCATATTAGATTTACTTTCTAAATATTTTGTGAGGGTTTTATTTCTATCTGTTGTGAATGGGATTCTTTTTTTGTTTCAATACATTTTTGTATTGATGCTTAAATGTTGATCTTGTGTACATCCACTTTATTGAGTCATCGCACTAATGCTAATAGTTTCTCACTTCAGTGAAAAACTGTTCACCTATAAAATCCAAGTGGATGATCATGTTCTCTACAAATAATGATCATTTGTCTCTCCCTTTCTGTTATTTATACATTTTATTTCTTTTTATTATCCAATTGCATTGTTCAGGACTCACAGTATATGTTAAATTTACTGGTGAAATATTTGTTCCTGTATTTTGTTTTACCATTAAAAGAATAAATTTGTTTCAGATATTTGATAGGTCTTATTTTTTAGTTAAAAGATACTTTTATCTATTTTCTAGCTTATAAAGAGACATTGAGTGTTTTTTCTGATTTTATTTTTGTTCTTCAGTCTTTTAATGTAGTAAATTCCTATTTGTATATTAAAGTTTAGCAGTGTGCACTTCAAGGCATAATTTTAAAAGCCAGTTCTCAGTTATCTACATGTGTGTATTAACCACATTTCAGTTTATCTGCAATGAAGATTTCAAATTTTTATTGACAATGTCATATAATTTTCTTAACTAAGAACCTCTTCATATAAATATCTTGTAAGGGATCCAAAATAGTGAAACTCATAGAAGCAGATAATAGAATGGTCCTTGCGAGAATCCAGGGAGTGGGAGAAGTGGGGAATAGTAGCTCAGTGGATATAAAGTTTCTGGTATACAAGATGAATAAGTTATATATTCAGGATAGATTGCATATTAAGTGTTCTTACCACCAAAAAATAAATAAACATGAAAGAACACAAGGAAATTTTTGGAGGTGATGGGTATGTTTATTGCTTGTGGTGATGGTATCATGGGTATATGCATATATATAAACTTACCAACATGTATATAGTGTTCAGCAAAAGTAGACTTATTGCCCTAGCTGGTTTTTCTCAGTGGATAGAGTGTCGGCCTGAGGACTGAAGGGTCCCAGGTTTGATTCTGATCAAGGGCACATGCCCCAGATTCATGCTCAGTCCCCAGTGGGAGGCATGCAAGAGGCAGCCAATCAATGATTCTCTCTCACCAATGATGTTTCTATATCTCTCTCCCTCTGCCTTCCTCTCTGAAATCAATAAAAATACATTTTTTTAAGTAGGCTTATAGTTGTGAGTACACAAAACAGTTTATTCTTATATTATTACTTATTAATTATTGTATTCTTTTCCATATGAACTATTGTAAATCTACTTTTGCCCCACCCTATACAGTAAATGTGTGCATTTTTTGTACATCAGTTATGTCTCAATAAAGCTAAGTAAATAGAACACTCATTTACTATAACCTGGCTGGATCTAGAAGAGAAAAGCTACCAATTCATTCAAGTAAAGGTGAAAGACAACAAATTTATAAACTGGTGCTTTTTTAAGCTCTGATTTGAACTCATATGTCAATACAGTGCCCTCAGAAATGCTCATTTTTGCCAGCAGTGGGAAAGCCACAACAAAAAATAATGCTCAAGTGTATTCTGAATCAAATATACTTTTTTCTTTAAGCTGCTCTTTTAGATTAACCATGCCTAAGATCTAACTCAACTTTGTGAAAGGTTTCCTTCATTAATTGATTTTATTAAATTTCCTACTGTGTGTGCAACAATTCTCCTATCTATACATCCTTACCATTGACTATTTTTAGTTTTTGAGTCAAAATAATGAGCAAAAGAGTATAAACTTAAAATAGACAATTGCTGGTATGAGATTCACGTGTTCTTAACAGGAAAACATTATGCATACCTAATTTGGTTCCAGTTAGGAATAAGGTGATCAAAAACTGTTAGAAACTAGATGAGAAATTCCTTTGCCCAGTATTTTCAATACAAAGGTCTCTACCTTTGAGGAAAATCTTTGAGCCTGGCCAGAGTGGCTCAGTGATGGAGTGTTGACCTATGAACCAGGAGGTCATGGTTTGATTCCTGGTTAGGGCACATGGGCTTGATCCCCAGTAAGGGGTGTGCAGGAGGCAGCCAACCAAAGATTCTCTCTCATTGGTGTTTCTCTCTCCCTCTCCTTTCTTCTCTGAAATCAATAAGAATATCTTAAAAAGAAAAGAAAAGCTTTAGAGGCCAATTAAGTTTATGCTCAGAACTGGAAATTGCCTCCAGAAAATGTAACATCTACTGAAAGAACCAAGTAAAGTGTTATGAGTTAACTGCCTGTTACATGCAAACAACTGATACTCAAACTCTCTAAATATGATCCTTGTCTCCAAGAAGGAGTGCATTTCAGACATAGATGTTAGTCCCAGCCTTGCCACTCACTGTCTGATTTTTTCCTCATCTTGAGTAAAACGTAATAATGATGAGTATACCTACTCTGTTCTAAGGATGAAATGATAAAATACATGTGAATTGTCCAGTACAATAATTGGCACATCTTATATCCTCAGTTACAACAATAACTATCATTGTTACTGCAATCTAGTTTGGAAAGCAAAATTTACACACAAAATAAGTCAAATATCATCTTAAGATAATAAAGGATTAAATTATTAGTTGTTTCTATGTACAAAGAATACTATAAGAAAGAAGCCTTCTCTGATTATACTATATAAATAATGTACATGTGCACACTCCCTCAGCCTTCCTTATACTTATCACAATCTTTGTTAGTAGCTTCTTATCTTTCCCACTATACTGTAAGCTCTTTTAGTGCATGGGCCATGTTTCTCTCATAAATTTCTTGCAGTCCCAGTACCCTGATGCAGAGTAGGGACTCACTAAATATTTGTTGAATGTATGACTTAAAGAGAATAAGTTATTGTTGGCCAGCATTAGCAAAGCAGCATTGTGGAGAAGATGACATTTGAAATGGATCTTGAAAAATGAGTAGGATTTGGGTGGACAGTGTGAAAAATGCATTTCAGGTTAATAGGCATGAAATAACTGAAACACAATGAGTAGACAGACACAGTGAGTAAGAAAGGAGCCATTTAATTTTAGGTAAAAAGAGATCATTAAAATAAGCTTTTCACACCTCTTCATTTTACAGATAAGAAAAATAAGACCCAGACAGTGACAGAATCTATATCTTTTCTATATCATGTAACTAACAGAGCTTAATAGGGCAGCCTAGAACCGGTGACTTTGGACTATCAGTTCAATGAAAGAGGAACTAGATGGAGGTAACTATAAGCAAGAAGTCTATTTAGGAAACAATTGCGGTAATCGAAGCCCAAAGTGATAAGGGAACAAACAATAGAGCGAGAGGAGTCGTATGTTATGTTTTATTATACTCTTACATTGAATATGAATGTTTATGGTTAGAGTAAACATGAACCAAGTAGAAAACTGGAAAGGGCAGATACAACACTCTGGGATATTACACTCAAACCATACATAAATATAAAAAGGAAGATGTACTTTTTAAAAAAAGATATTCTTTATGAGAAAGAAAACAGATTCCACTATACCTAGGGATAATCACAAACTTTATCTGGGATACTTTTGAAAATGAAGGCACTGTGTGTACCATGTGGGAAATATTAGGTGCCCTCATAACAAATCATACACAGAATAACTATAGGCAAATAAACCTTTCAAAAGTGGGCTGACAGCTTCTAACAGCAATATACTAGTAAAGCCATCTTTCAGAGCCAGTAATTCAGGCAGGCCCATCTGAGTCATTTCCTCTATAAAATGTTTTTAGTGGAAATACAAGAAAAAGCACCAATGAACTAATAATTATCTCCTCTTTGTCATCAAGGTGGCCTAGGTTAGTTAAATGCCACCTTGAAATTAATTGCATCTCATTTTATCTACCTGGAATGATTCTGTTATCCTTTTCTTAAACTATAGCACATATGTATGTGACCTGTGTTTCTTTTATATGTACAGATCCAGAACATCAATATGATGATAAAGATAAGTATGTATCTCAAAATTATTCTATACTCTCTGTAATTTTTTAAATCAAATATTTTGACTGAATCAACCACATCGGCCATTTATTTAATAGACTGGTAGCTATAACTTTGGTCTTTATTATTTTCTTTCTCTTCACTTTAATAAAAAAAAACACATAATGAATTAAATCATAAACCTACAAATTAAAAACTGCCTCATATTGCAAATTCATATTAATGATGCAGCTGATGAAAATAAGTATCCATAACCTAAAGATGCACAGTGCTAGGGACAAAGGTGGCATTTTACATTTTTATTAACACTTGTAATTTTCTCCTGCTTGATTTCTTTTAGGCCAAGCCCAATTTCTTCTTAGCCATGGGTCAGTGAGCTCATGCTGATTCTCATATGACGGATGGCTTGATTTTGCAAAGATATCACTAACTACCAATACCTAAGTCTAGCTGCCATCATCATGAAAAACCTAGAATAATAGAAAAGTATGAATTTGAATGTATTATTGCCTTTAATTTCACTAACTAGCATTCCTGGGCACCATCAGAATTGTGTGTATCTGAGAAAGATTAATTTAAACTTTATTAATGTGGTAGTAACAAAATAGCATAAAACAAGCAAAATAGTATTCTGTTACACATATTTGTTATCTTTCCCTGTTAAATGTCATAGGAAAAAAACCATACACTTTAAATGGTAAAATTTTGTATTTAGTACATGTAAATGTAAATTTAAGAACAAGTGGATTTCACCAGAATATGATACATATCTGCTTTAATAGCTGTTCTACATCCTCCCAAATGAAAACAATATTATATTAATAAATCATAAGGGGCTTCTATTAGCTTGATAAATAAGTGCATTTAAAACACAAGTTAGAAAAGGATTTGTTTAAATACTTTAAATAAGTCTTTATCATACTACTCTAGTGATGTCAAATACAACCTTCATTCTGAAGATTTTAGTTAGAGATTTAATCTTTGAAAATATTAATAACAGCTTACAGCAGGTAAGCTATAAAATAATACTGGATGCTGTCTATTTAGTTTCTGGTTGAAAAAGCACAGCAGTACTTTAGTTCATTACCTTTGAAAAAACCAGTAACAAGATAATACAGCTGCCTCTGATTAAGATGTAAATTCTTTCTAATTAGAATGTAAATTCTTACATTTAAATGAAGACATCAATTGTCAGGATGCCATATGATATCTTATTCCACCTTGCCTGAATGAAGCCCTCACTGCTCATCTATGGCACTAAAATAGTTTTGCAATCCCTTTGTTCTCTGATTCTTGTAATATTCTCTCTTCATGTTCCCTTTTCACATTGCTTTTGTTTATTTTCCCCCTTGCATCTGATATTGCTGTGCCTTGGGATTTTGCAGAAATTTGGAATGAAAATTGAGTTCAGTCAGTGCCAGTATTTGCTTGTGCCTCAATTACTTCTGCTGAATTTTCCTCAATGCAAATCAGGCAGGTTGCATAAAGTGGTGCATGTATTTGAAATAATTAATTTTCCGTAAAATGATGGATCAAATCCAATCAACCTTTATGAAATCTAAATAATAGAATAGAGAATTAGAAATTAATTAACATTTTGTGTTGTTAATACTGTATAGTATAAACTAGCAATAGTAAGTTTTACTGTTGATTCTAACTTTGTCTTTATTAAATGTTGATGAAAACCTGCCTCAATCATTTCTTGCCAGAATTATGCTAACAAGGAATCTTATATCAATAACGTTAAAGCAAAGGTTTCTAAGATTATATAAATTATTAACCAGTGAGTTGAATTATGTGTGCTTCTTTCCACAGAGCAGTAGTCAAAGTTTTATCTTGAATAATGTACACTAATTTATAGAAATCTACTGTTATATTGGATAGGCCATGAGCCTTTGAGCATAGCATTGTACCTTTATTTTCTATCCTGTTTCTTCAACCAAAAGAGGTATAAGTTTAGAAATGAACCAACTTAACCAATCTTACAGTGCTAGGACTTGAAAGAATGCCTTACAGATAGTCTTTTTTTTAACGTATTATAAAATTTCAAACATATACAAAAGTAAAGACTAGTATAATGAATGCCTGTGTACCCATCAGCCATCATCAATCATCAAGGAGCTAACAGGGAAGCAAAACATACAACCTGAAATAATAATAACATGCAAGTAATCCTATATAATAAAAGCCCAACAACCAAACAGCACAACTACCAGAAAGACCAGTCAACCAGTTGCTATGGTGTGCACTGACCACCAGGGGGCAGATGCTCAACATAGGAGCAGTGCTCTCCCACAGCGGGAGCAGCCACTCAGAGGGCAGGTCCACAGCCGCTCAGCTGAGTAGGATGAGCAGCTCTCCCACAGCAGGCCGATCCCCACATGCCACACCCCCCCACCAGTGCACGAATCCTGTGTACCGGGCCTTTAGTAGAGAATAATGTGCAATTATAGAAGCTAAACTGCAGTTAGAGAATATGAGTGCTGTGGCTAGTAAGAGAAAATTAATTTGTGCTGAATAAGCAGAGAAGAGAAAGAGCATTCCAGGTGGGGCAGAGATGCCATAGAGAAGATTTAGCAATGAGCAGAATCTGTTGATAGTATAGTTGATCATATGGCATGATTAGAGTTTAGTGTTTTTATATATATTTAAGTAGTTAACTTTGGTAAGATGGAGGGATTTGAGAGCCAGGCAATACATTTTAGTATTAACTAGTCAAAGAAGTATTTTAGAGTGACAGCATCAGACATACCTTTTTTTTTTTTACTTTTTTTTTAAAATAGATTTTTATTGATTTCAGAGAGGAAGGGAGAGGGAGAAAGAGATAGAAACATCAATGATGAGAGAGAATCATTGATCAGCTGCCTCCTGTATGCCCCACATAGGATGGGGATCAAGACCACAACCAGAGCATATGGCCTGATCAGGAATTGAACTGTGACCTCCTGGTTCATAGATCAGTGCTCAACCACTGAGCCACGCCAGCAGGCTGAAAAATACCTTTTCTTTGTACAAACAAAAATCTCATCTGTTGTAATTAAAATTCTTTCCTAGTCTCTGATCATGTGCACAAATAGGACATTTCTAGTGACTAAAGAATAAATTGTAAAGAAATATTTTGTCTCTGACCAGCTAATTAAAAACAAATGTTAGTGCCGAAACCGGTTTGGCTCAGTGGATAGAGCGTCGGCCTGCGGACTGAAGGGTCCCAGGTTCGATTCCGGTCAAGGGCATGTACCTGGGTGGCAGGCACACCCCCAGTAGGAGATGTGCAGGAGGCGGCTGATCGATGTTTCTCTCTCATCGATGTTTCTAACTCTCTATCTCTCTCCCTTCCTCTCTGTAAAAAATCAATAAAATATATTAAAAAAAAAAAAAAGAAACACCATGAAGTGTTAACATTTAAAAAAAAAACAAATGTTAGTAATAAACCTGTAATGTTACATTTTACTATATTACATGTTACTTGACTTTTATGTCCACATAATCAAGAGAAATATCACTTTTGTTATTCATACGGTCACTTGAAAGTTTTTTGAAACCATAATATATTTGTTTTTGCACAATTATAAATTTGTAGTATTATTTACATACAGTGTTAGTCTCTCATTGCTGCTGTAACTAATTACCACAGACTTTGTGGCTTAAACAATACACATTTGTCTTACAGTTCTGGAGGACAAAAATCAAAAAGTCTTATGGGGCTAAAATCGAGGGGTCAGCAAGGCTGAGTTCCTTCTGGAGACTCTAGAGGAGGATCCCTTTCCTTGCCTTTCCCAACTTCTAGATGCAAGCTGCATTCCTTGGCTGGTGACCCCATTCTTCATCTTCAGAACCAGCAATGTTGGGCTGAGTCTTTGTTAAACTTCCACCTCTCAGGTTATCTCTCTCTTTTTTAAATATATATATATTTTTTTATTTTTGGCAGTATTACAGATATCCCCTATCCACACCCACCCCCACCCCATTTTGCTCCCCTTTACCCAGCCCCTTCCCCATCCCAGGTCTTCACCACGCTATTGTCTGTGTCCACGGGATGGAGATATATATATATATATATATATATATATATATATATATATATATATCTCCAGCGACCAAACAGCGGAACGACCAGAACAACTGGTCAACCAGTCACTATGACACTCACTGACCACCAGGGGGCAGACACTCAACACAGGCTATGACACTCACTAACCACCAGGGGGCAGACACTCAATGCGCTCTGCTGACCAGGATTAGCAGCGCTCCCACAGTGGGAGCAGCCGCTCAGAGGGCAGGTCCACAGCCGCTCAGCTGACCAGGATGAGCGACACTCCCACAGCGGGCTGATCCCTGCAGGCCACGCCCCCCAAACAGTGCACAAATCCATGCACCGGGCCTCTAGTGAGCATATAAGTTCTCAGGTTCTCTCTTACCCTCTTTCACTTTTAGGGACCCTTATGATTATATTGGGCCCACTGGGATAAATCTGGATAATTCCCCTTTGTGATATGCATAAACATATTACAGGTTGCAGGGATTAGGATGCAAACATCTTTGAGGGACCACTGTTTTGCCTACCTTAACATTTCTTTCATATCTGCTCCTCAGTGACTGCTTTGATAGACCATAGAGACAGAACTACTTCATTGGCTCAGAAAGGAACTTTTTATCTGCTTCAGAAGAAACTAAAATGTATCATTTCAGCTGACCTTGAGGAAAAGAAAAAAGAGAAATTAGACTAAATACTATAAATCACAACAGTTGCACCAAGTATAAGCATTTGTACAAAATTGTATACTAAAATTCGTCATTGTGGACATGGCCCAAAAAATGTGTTTCAAAGAAGGGAGTAAGCAGCTAGCATTTGGGGGGAACTTATTATGTGGCAGGCACTATTATAAATATTTTGGATGTATTATTACCATTTAATCTTTAACACCCAATTGAGTATATTTCTTCCTTTTAATGATAAGGAAGCTGAGGCTGGAAGACTTTAGGTTAAACTTCCCAGAAGACACAGTTAATGAGCAAGCCCAAAGTCTTCATATTACACCTTGCTAAATTCTATGAAATGTCAGTTGTATCCATCTATCAAGAAACATATTTTTTCGTATTGGCTAAGATTAAGGCATTCAGCCTGGCCAGCCAGAGTGGCTCAGTTGGGTAAGTGTTGTCCTGTACACCAAAAGGTTGCCATTTCGATTCCCAGTCAGGGCACATACCTGGGTTTCAGGTTCAATTCCCAGTCAGCAACCGATCAGTCTCTCTCTCTCTCTCTCTCTCTCTCTCTCTCTCTCTCTCTCTCCTCTCATTTTTAGGTGCGGATTTTTAAAAAATAAAAAAAGATTAAGGCATTCAGAGTATTATGGAATAAACAAACAAGTACTAGTATGAGACATAATCCTGTCCATCAACAGAACACTACAGTTCCCTTTTCTCCACATCTTTACCAACATTGGTTATCTCTCGTGTTTTTTATGATAGTCATTCCTAAGAAGTCTGAGGTGATTTCTCATGGTGGTTTTGATTTGCAATTTCCTGGTAATTAGTAATATTAGTACCTTTTCATGTACCTGTTGGCCTTTTTTATGCCTCCTTTGGAAAAATGTCTATTCAGTTCCCCTGCCCATTTTTTAATCAGATTCTTATTTATTTATTTATTTATTTATTTATTATTAAGTTGTATGTGTTCTTCAATTATTTTGGATATTAACCCCTTATCAGATATATGATTTATAAATATTTTCTCCCATTTTTTTTAGATTGTCTTTTCATTTTTTGGATGATGTCCTTTGCTGTATAGAAGCTATTTAGTTAGATGTAGTTCCACTTGTTTAATTTTGTTTTTGTTGCCTTTGCTTTGGATGTGAAATCCAAAAGAAAATGTTGCCTAGACTAATATGAAGTTGCTATGTTTTCTTCTAGGTTTTATGGTTTAAGTCTTATGTTCAAGTCTTTAATTCATTTTGAGTTGAGTTTTGTGTCTGGTATAATACAGTGATCCAGTTTCATTCTTTTTTATGTTGCTGCCCAGTTTTCCCAGTTTATTGAAAAGGCTATTCTTTTCCCATTGCATATTCTTGGCTCCTTTGTCAAAAAGTAACTAATCATATATAGATGAGTTTATTTCTGGGATCTTGATTCTATTCCATCTATGTGTCTTTTTAAAATGCCGATATGATAGTGTCTTGATTACTTTAGCTTTGTAATGTAGTTTGAAATCAGGGCATGTCATGCCTTCAGCTTTGCTCTTCTTTCTCAAGGCTTTTTTTGCTTTTGGGGTCTTTGGTTCTGTACACATTTTAAGAGTGTTTGTTTTGAAGTTGAGGTTTATAATTATGTTATCTATTCTAGAAATGAAATTTCTCATTTATAATAGTGTTAAGAGAAGGATCTGTAGTTTTTTTCAACTTGTTGCTCTATATGTTTATCAGCTTAAAATCTGAAAGCCACAAACGTTTTCTGACACATATAACAATGACAAAGGAAAAAATGTTCCATATTTTCTCCACTAAAAG